ATTTAAAAATACACTAAATCTGATTTTACTCTTTGTTATTAAAATATAATGAAAAAAAACCTAGAAATGTTAAATGTCATTAATTGCTACTAATGGTATCCAAAACCCCTTTTAAGGATAGCTTTTCTCCACCAGTTTCCTCTGATTCTCCTTAAAATATTTGAGGAGTTAGAGTAAAAACAGATTTTTTAACATAAAAAGAATGTTCTAACTTGACACTCCTTGGGTATGTGCTGCAACTTATATACTGAAGGAGATTTTTTCCCTAAGTGTCCTATATATCAAATGCAAGGTATTCAAGCATCTTAAATAGGGCTTTTGTCTGGGAGTCATCTAGTGCTATTTTTCCAAAAAGTCTCCATGGTTTCCAGGAAATATTTAAAGTGATATTAATATAATATTTTTGCTTTTTTAATTTTTAAAAATTAATTTATTTTAATTGACAAAACTTTTATATAGTTATCTTGTACAACATGTTGTTTTGAAATATATATACATTGTGGAATGGCTAAATGAAGCCAATTAACATATGCATTACCTACCATACTTAATCATTTCTTCGTGGTGAGAACACTTAAAATCTACTCTGTCAGCAATTTTCAAGAATACAATATATTGTTAAGTGAAAAAAAAGATAGCTATTATGATGTCAATTTTATTTAAAGATTCTATCTATCTATCTATCTATCTATTTAAAAAGAATAAAAAAGTAGAAGGATAGTCATTGAAATGTTAATAGCGGTTATCTCCAGTTATAATTCTAAGCAATTTTTCATTTCTATTTATGTGTTTCTTAGGTAATCCAAATGTCTCCTAATCTTCTGGAGTCACTTATTCCTGTAATAACCAAATGCCTTGAGTTTCTACCCCAAGTAACAGCAGGATCTATTCTTTTTACTCAGCCCTTCTTTTCCAAGGTAACCTTCTTCTTATAAGCCTGTTTATGAATAAGTTCAAGCTACAGTCAGTTCTCTCAGTCTCTGGGTTCAACTCCTGCAGCTGCTGTCTTCTTTCAATACCTCTGCCCTATATGTGGCCCCCATCCCCCTGCTTTCATGTCCTCATAGTACCACAAATACAAGGTTAGCATGTGGTAAGCAACTATGAGTAAAGCTTTGGGGAGAAAGTAGACATACTTCCACACAACACCAATAGGAAATAATTTAAAACTGAATATTGACATCTTAAATAGAAACTGTCAGTGGCTGTTTTGCACCCTAGGTCTCACCCTACTACCATTTTGCCAGGTTGTGCCCCTCAAGCCAAGAGTTCTTCCCTTCTCTTCCATTTAGCCCCTCTTTTCCTAGTTCCTGGGATTCTCAGTGTCTTTCTCTAGACTGCTCTCTAAAAAAATAAAAGATAAAATAAAATACAATACAGGTTCTCCATTTTATATGCAAAGCAATTTCATTCTCAGCCTCCATCCCAGACTAGGCTCTAGACCCATCTTGCCTTTTATAAAAGGTTACAGTTGGGGAACTTTTCTAAATTAAAAAAAGCAAAAAAAAACCCCCAAAACAACAACATTTATCTCTGATTTGCATGCTTAGCGAAGCAAAGAGACAACAAAAGCAAAAAGATGAATATCTGGAAAGGAAGAAAATTTAAATTATTGGGTATGCTCCTTTCCAATTACAGCAAACTCTAGAGCTAATTTTTGTCTGCTTGTCATAGATATTTTCCAAATTTTCTGCAGTGAGCATGTATTCTTTAATAAATATTATTTTTAAAAGTAAGTGTTGCTTATGGATGAATGTCTCCAAAGTACTTAAAGTTTTTATTTCAGAAAAAAAAAACATTTTTCAGCTCTGTTCCAGTCTGGCTCCTTAAGTTCCCCTCCCTTGAGCCCCGTGTTTCCCCCTTTCTTCCTTCCTTCTTGTTTGCATCTTACAGAAGGTAAAAAAGGCAGGTGAACTTAAAAGGAAGAGAAAAAAATAAACATTGGCTCTGAGGTATACAGAGATTCCCACAAATTTAAACTATGCTTGCTATAGATGAAAATTATACAAATGACTTTTCTTAATTGTGAGTATTCATCTAGATAAAACCAAGCTGGAGTCAAAATTAAGAATACTGGATTTGACTTAGCATCTTCAGAAAAGAGGATCTTATGTTTTGCAGTAATTATAATTTAAATGCATGAACATATCCATATTTTTAGATCTATGAGGTATGGCTTTATATGCTACATTAATTCAAAACATTTTGGAAGACTGAACAATGAATGTACATTTTGAACTTTTAGAAATAGAATTTGGCACGTCTTGGCTTACAAAACTCACTACCTAGACTAGATCTTTAATAAAATAGTATCTTAAGATTAAAATTACATTTTTGGAAATTTCCTGATAATATCTGGAAAGGAAGAAAACCTCAAATTCGAATAATGTACACTCTTATGAAATATAAACAAGCTTACAGCATTTATCATTTAGATTTTTGGTTTCTAAACTGGAAAACACTGCCACCTTGTGGCAAGATGGACTACTAAAGCTTTTGTTTAAATATTCTAAAAACTGGTTTTTCCTGGATGATCTACAAGTTACAGTAGATTTTTGAATGGTGGATGAAGGTAGTCTCATTCTGAGTTTCCAAGATGGGATAAGTTATGCTAACAAATAACTTTAAGCAAAAATATATATTTTGTGTATGTTCCCTTAAAAACACAATTGCATAATGTTCAAACATAATATTCTTCAAAAAAACCAAGAAAACAAATACTCAAACGGCCTTCAACTGGTGTAAAGGTTGAGCCAAAATGCAAAAGAAACTTGTTAACCAGTTCAAGAACAGTAAATTGCATTTTTCTAATTTTACTCCTTAAAGGCATCAACCAGAAGCCTAACACTTGCTTCCTCCTCTAATAAAGCAAAAAACAAACTTCACCCATCCCCACAATAAATTATGCAAATTGTTTGATTTTGTAAAGCAAACAGCAAAATTACTTCACCTCTTTCCTGGCATTTCAGAAAAAAAACAAAATAACTGGGTTTTCCTTATTTTGGCTGGACTTTTAGCTGTGTGACCCAAGTCAAGTTACTTAAGTTCTCTGAACATCAGTTTCTTTACCTGCAGAATGGAGACAATCATATAACCTACCTCATTGGATTGTTGTGGGGATTAACTGAGTTAATACAAGCAAAGTGTTCCTTAGAACTGTGCTGGACACCACAGGAAGTATTAATTAAATTTTAGCTCTCACTTATATTCCAAGATGGACAAAGAATAGCAATGTACCTACATATAATTTGTATTAGGCTTGGCATAGTTCTTCAATGTGACTTGATTTTACATCATGCTAAGAAGTTGGGCTCTCTACCTACCATTTATAGCTGGCATAGGTCTAACAGTGATTAGGCTCTCTAGTTTAATTTGAACCCTTCCATCTACGGGATGGGCTTTGGACCCCATCCCTAATCTGCCATTTACTACACTTGGAGAATTTGGTTAATCTTTCTAAGTTCCAGTTTATTGATAAAATGGGGAACATTAGTACATACATCATAGAATTGCTTTGATGATTAAAGGAAACAATGCACATATAAAGCCCTTAGCACAGTGTAAGATAACAGCCTCAACCAAGTTTCTTAGGTATATTTAAAAAATAAAAGATACTCCATCTAAAACAATATAAGCACCAGTTACATAATAAACAATGGTGAAGAAATGGGCCCTTAGATAAAATGATGGGGAAAGAATTCTGTGGAGGGGAGGGGTAAAAGGACATGCCTGACTTCACAGATGTGGGGATAGAGAATGAGAAGAATATATGTAAGAGGCAGGACAGAGTAATAGTAAAAAACAAACCAAAAAAACCCCTGAAAAGGGAGTCAGATAGATCTGGGTATTAATACAGGCTTTCTGCCAACTGTTATGAGTCCTTGGGCAGGTTACCAAATCTTTTGAGTCAGTTTCCTCCGAATTGGGGATAATAGGGTTGCTATGGATTGAATGAGAAAACGTAAAGTGCTTCCCATTGAGCCCGGGTCATAAAAACCTCAATAAACAGTAGCTGTAGCTATTATTAATTATTTTTAAAGAAATATTTTTGTGGGAGGGGGAGGAGGGGATGGGTAAATTCACACCTAACGGATGCGGTGTGCGCTGTCTGGGGGATGGGCAGGCTTGTCGGGCGGTGCAAAGGCAATTTATGTAATAAAAGCGTTTGTAACCCCGTAATACTCTGAAATAAAAAAAAAACTTAAAAAAGAAATATTTTCTGCGTTCGGGACTTGAACACCTAATAGGAACAATCCTTTTAAGCATTCTAGTTTCTAGTGTTAAGTGAAAATCAGGACAAGAATAGGAAGTGAATTATTTGAGGACTGGGACACGGGAAAGGGAGGAGAGTTGGGGCAAGTGTTTTTGAATTGGTTGGTTAAAACAGCAGGGACTCTTTGGAGTACCAAGCATAAGTTCTGAGACTCATTCCGGCCTCTTATTTCTCTCTCTCTTAAGCTCTTAGAGAGGAGGAAATAAAGTGGTCAAACCGGCCCTGCCTCGCCCCTCCCTCACCACACGGGGGAGCACGTAGACATGTAGATACCGGCATTGTGACTTCGGCACTGTGACGCAGTGACCACGCAAGGGGGATAAGGTGGTTCAACTCCTCCAGGGTCATTTTTTTCTTCCCCTTACTTCCAGCCTGTTGGCAATGAAAGGCCAGATGACAACTTGAAACCCGGAGAAGGCTGCAGCTGTGATCGCTGGTGAAGTCAACTCCAGCAAATCCGAGGCATCAATAACCTTCCTGAGGTAGCCCTTTCTTTTAATAATTTCCAACTCAATAGAGGAATATCTTGAAGCGCGAATCAAGCTGAGAAAAACTGGGAATAGCTGACAGCCTTTCACCACAGCACTTTAGTTAAGGGATCCTGTTCCATCAAGACACTTAGACATTAGCCAACCAGTCATCTGCCAATCCATTATCTGCCACCCAGTCCTCGGCCAAACAGTCATAAATCAACCAGTCCTCGGCCAACCCATACTCAACTAATCAGGCACGAATCAACTGGACATGAGCAAATCAGACATGAACCAATCAAGTTTACCAGACATGAATGAAACAGGCACAAGACAGCCAAGCATAAGCTTAATTGGTATGAACCAACTGGACATGAATCAACCAAGCACAAGCCTACATGACATGAACCAACTGGGCATGAACCAACAGAGCATGAGTGAACCACCCATGAGGCAACCAGGCACAAGCCTGCTAGACATAAACCAACCTGATGTAAAACAACTAGGCAAAGGGCAATCAGACAGAAGCCTCCCAGACATAAACCAACCCGGCATGAAACAACCAGGCACATGGCAACTAGGTATAAGCCAATCAGACATACGCCAACCAGGCTTGAGCCAGCCAGGCATGTCGCAACCAGGCATGAGCCAACCAGTCCCGAGACACCCAGGCACGTCACAACCAGGCATGAGCCAACAAGTCCCGAGCCACCAAGGCATGTGGCACCCAGGCATGAGCGAAATAGTCCTGAGCCACCCAGGAATGTGGCAAACAGACCCAAGGCAACGAACTACCAGCTCATCAAGTACGAGTCAATCAGGCACGAGTCAGCTAGACACGATCCAATCAGATACAACTCTATCAAGCAGTACACAACTAGGCTC